GGGGGGGGGGGGGGGGGGGGGGGGGGGGGGGGGGGGGGGGGGGGTGAGGTAGCAATCCCTCTGTTAGGGGAGCCCTGGAGACCTATGAACACCTGCGGTCAGCGACAGCGACTGCTCACTTTTCTACGCAAGATTCTGCTAGTCTTGAGCCATGCGGAGTGCGCATGAAAGATGTGAATTAAGTGTACATGTCAACATGCATGAATGCATTGTGGAGACACGTAAAACAAAATAAATCACAAACAGACACAAATTTTCTTCGTGTCGGAACATGCAAGTCTGTTTCACAGGTAGCGCTCAGCCTGTGATCTGCTGTGAGACGGTCCGAAGACAAAAACAAAACTGTACAAAAGCTACTCTCCGCTGTTGGAAAGCGGTTGGTTTTCGGCTGCTGTCAAGCTACCGCAAATGCGGAACATTGCAATTTTTCTGGGGCTACAAGCCCATAGTGAAATAGTAACCGTAGAAACTCAGCTCATTTTGCCTACGGTTTTCCCCGGACAAATGAAAGAAAATGGACTGATCCGGTGTTTGCGGGATCATGTCAAGCCACGTTCCGTCGTATTTCTGGACCCAACGCTGTCTGGGTACTTGGTACCCTGGGACGTATTCTACTTGAGTGGTATTGGGATTAACTCTATAGTACGACGGCTGATCATAACTGTAACCGTAATTACGGTGTCCGGAAGAGCTTGAAGCTGTTCCTTGGCTAAGCCATTGCGAACCCGACAGGCGGGATGGAGGCGCAGGAGGCTCAGGTACGTTAATAGGCCTTTTTCTGGTTGTTTGCCTTTGGTCGGCCTGCTGCGATCTCTGCCTCTGGTCAGCCTGTTGTGTTCTCTCTCTCCACGGCGGTGGAGTCTTCGGTGGTCCTGGCGGATCAGGTGGCGTTCGAGGCTGTTGTGAACCTAATGTTCGTCCGGGAGCCGGAACTGGAGGAGCCTTTACAGGAGGCCTTGCACTTGAGGAAGATCCTGATGACTTCGGTGCGGATGTTTCTCTTAAGGATCTTGGTGCAGCTTTATATTGCACTGGTCTGGCTTTCTCTGCTGGAGCTCGCACTGGTGCCGGAGGCGGTGCTGGTGTTTCAGCTCTGGGGCGATATGTTCTGGTCCTGCTGACCGATCGACTTCTAGTGCGTCCAACATTTCGGTGTGTATCAGTCCGCAGAGGCGGAACACTGTCTCTCCTTTCTTCTCTTTTGTCGAGATATCCTTGAGTTCTCTGCATCCATTTTTCACGTCTTTTATCTTCAGATTCCTTGGAACGGATGCGCATATTTTTCAATGCCTTTAGGGATGCATATGTAAGGAGAGGTGAGTGCCATGCACAGTCCTTTTCTGCCAGACCAAGGTCATATGCCATCAAATGTTTCAACTGTTCAACATCGTTCAACATAACTTCATCGGAAAAGGCAGATCCTGCAAATCCATCGGCAGAAGCGGATTCTTCTTTTGCACGTGCTTCCGTGACAGCCATCTGCTTACCGTAACAAAGAGAAATTAAAAGCATTGAATCACAATCAGCATCATCTCCACGCATGCTTCGGATGTAATCAGCAGCAGTGGTCGATGAAACTACGTTATACGTAATACGGTTTATCGGACTGCGGGGAAGATTAATCTGCTGAAGGAAACGCTCCAAAATGTCGATAAGGATGCAAGTCCGGTAGTCGGAATGATCGTCTGCTTTAAAGCTTCGCTGTGCGAAAAGATTTCCGTCACCGGACAAAAAGTCACACTGATGTTCGATACAGCTTGCGACAAATTGGAGCCATTTTTGGCACGTTTCTTTATAGGCATTACTCCATGCATATGAGGAGATATGAAAAACCGCAATGCGGCATTCAGCTAACATGAGACGTCGGACGTCATGGGTGTCAGCTCCAAGATTCACTTCACAAGCTTCCACGCCGGAGACGGCAAGGTCATCGTCTCCGTCGATCTCGCAGATCGAATGATCAAGAAAATCGAGTGAGGATGCAAGTGGGCGATCGTGCTGGTAAACCGTAGATTCGGCATTTTTCTCGATGTCCGGTTTCGGAACACGAGCGCCAGTAGAAGGATCAACAAATTCTCCTGACGTATTCATGCCATGGCAGAGGCGGAAAATGGCGCCATGCAAAATCCAAAAAGGTGCATCTTTGTTGGACGTTTGAATTTGGTGTTGACACAAAAGTTCAATAAATGAGCCTGTATCATGTGATCCACGGAGAAAAATTGCAAGGGACTGTGACTGGATGTGCGGGTGCACTACCATTCCAATCATGCCGTACTCTTCGGCAAGTTCTCGATGGACGGCAATTCCTCCGTACTCATCGGAAGCTTCGCACAAGCACACAATATGGGCCGCATTACGGAACACTAAATGTGGCAAGGCACGATGATTAATATCAGTTCTGACCCATTTTGGAAATTTTGCACAACCTCCGATAAACGGAAGACAGTTGATGTGACCAAGGTTCAACGTCAGAATGCCAAGCTGATACGTGTCCTTCTGAAATTCGTGGATGTTCTCCTTAGTGCGCTTGGTAACACCGAGGATTGCTCTCTTACCTAGAAGGCACGATCTGAAGAGTTCCAATAAACGGAGAACCTCCTCTGTCGCAAGTTCATCGCCGTCAGGGTACTTGAAGAAAGCCTCAGGTCGCCAGATCGGAAGAGGCGTCTGGTCCTGGGCATCAACAAAGTGCTCCTGGAGAGTCGGAATTCGACATCCAAATGGCATTTCATAAACATATTCTGTATAATCAAAGTCTTCAATTCCATGACGTGCAAAAGACTGAAGATAAGTGTTTCCAATGGAGCGTCCCTCACGCAGATGCGTGATCAGTTCAGAGAATTTTTCTTGGCGATATTGAGCATGCTCTCTGCGGGTGGCTCCGAAATACGAAGATTCAGCAAGAACAGTGTCAACCAGGTCTTCGATATCGAAAGGCGATTTGGATGAGCCGATGCTGTCTGGATTAATAATGTTATGTTTGCAAGACAAGCCGCAGGTGCGGCATTCCAAGCAGTAGGCCATGCCACAAGGGTGGCACCAGAACATTGCCTCTGAATTTCCACAGTCTTCAAAATTCTTACAGCATTGAGGACCCGCAGGGCGAGGAAACCATTGAATTTCATCTGTATCCTTTTTAAACTTTGTGAAAAACTTTTGGGCTGCGTCCGCATCACGGAACAAATCCTTTGCCTGGGCATTCATCTCACGGCGTCTTTTTGTCTTAATAACCTGTCGTCGGCCACCCCAAGGAGATGCGGCCTGCAGATCAACTTCAGAGTTAGGGTCAATGTTGCCGGATGCTTGATCGGAGCTAGCCGCAGCGGCGGCATCCTTCGGCTTCTTAGGCATAGGCTTGGCCTTGACAGGTCCTTTAGGAGCTTCACTCTCCGAGGCGGAAGACTGCTCCTTGTTTCTCTCCTTTGCAAGATATTTCTTAAATCGCTCGGAGATTTCTGCCTTGAGTGTTTTTACTCTTTTGTCTGCCTCTGTCTCAGGTGGGCCGAGTTCTTGGTCGTTCGGAGTTGCGTCGGTTCGAAGAGGCCTGGCCGGACCGGAATCGGCATTACGAAAACTTTCTAGGAACTTCTTTACAACAGGGAGTTTTTCGATTTCTTCTGCCACATACTCCACATATTCGGAACGTGACCAGGTGAAACCATCTTGTTCGTTTTCGTTCTTCTTCTCCCAGTAAAGTTGATGATGGCAGACATGCATTGCAAGGTCAATATCGGATGTGTAATCATTCATTCGCCTAAGCTCGCCCGGTTCCGGTGCAACAAGCCAGGAACGATCAACGAAGGACCAAACACCGCAGAAGCGGGAAAACGGCACAGTCTGATCGGTAAGGACATATCTGTTGTGTGTCATCACTGGACCAAGGCCGGACACAGCACCAGGTCTGGCAATTAAAATGCAGTCTGATTCGGGACGTAATACGTCTCTGATCGTACTGAGTGCAGAATCAAGAGTAAAATGCACGTGGTTTCTTCCACCACGGGTGCCTCCTGGGAGCAAACCTAGTCTTCGGATGGATTCAAGATTTTTCTCGTTCGCTCCATGGATGAGGTACCTTAAGGGAAATACTTCAGGTTGAAATGGGCAATGCTGGATCTCGACTTCAGTGGAATGGCCACTCTCAAAACGGATAAAAATGCTCGCAATGTCGAGACCTTCAAGCATGTCGGCTTGGCCTTCCCTGGTAACCTCATCATCGAACTCTGCCGGCTTAAACCACGTGTCCGGTATCGGAACAATGCCTGGTTGGAAATCTTCGGTGGTAACATA